AATAGTTGAATTCTTTTTTTTTTTTGTAAAGTATTTGTGATATATGTGGGTTTGACATATTCGAGTATCTTAAGTCATTTATATAATATTTGAGAAAATGCTATCTTTGTAGATTATGTGTGGGGTACTTGGGATGTGGTTGTGAGATGAGGAGAGATGTGAGATTGGAATGTTAGTTTGAGTGCTATTAGCACTACCTTAGGTACCTCCCCGGTTATGGGTTTTATGATTGAAAGGTTTTTGGTCTATACTATGAATAGGCAAATGGGAAAAATTAAATTAAGGGAGGGAAAATTATCTTTATAATATTTATATAAGGGTTATGAACTCCACCATCATATGTACCTCCCCTGGAATGATGACACTTAGAAACAGTGGAAATGGGTACTTGGAAACAGTGGATATGGACACTGGGATACATGGAAATGGATATGGATTGGATATGGTTTGGATATGACGGAACCCGGGGCATACCTTAACAGGGTGTCACTGTAGACCCTTAATTGGGTAGTCTGCGAGCGTAGGATTTTCCAAGCGTATGGGTCTTGATTCTTCGTCCGTACGTGCTTGGCTAGAGCGTCAGTGCCCCAGTTGGACGGCTCATCCCTAGCCACATGGTCTTTGAGGGAGGTTTACATGTGGTTAGTCAACAATCCCCTGTTGGATTGTTTTTCCCAGTACATGATGTGCATCATCATCTGTACTCCCCCTTGGATACTAATACATGGACACAGTGGATATGGATACGTGGATATGACGGAACCCGGGGCATACCTTAACGAGGTGTCGCTGTAGACCCTTAATTGGGTAGTCTGCACGCGTAGGACTTTCCAGGCGTACGGGTCTTGATTCTTCGTCCGTACGTGCTGGGTTAGAGCGTCAGTCCCCCAGTTGGACGACTCATCCCTAGCCACATGGTCTTTGAGGGCGATTTACATGTGGCTAGTAAACAATCCCCTGTTGGATTATTTTCCCTTGGTACATGATGATGGTGAGAGGTGGGTGTCATTATATATATATATATATATATACTCATTTATAGGCACAAATGTTACATTTTGGTATATGTGGTTTTGATTCGGGATTGAGATTCGTGAGATTGTCCTTTGTGAGGACCCTGTATATGTGTGAATGTTTGAGCCATGGATTGGGAAGTGTTGTACGGCAACATACGCCTTGGATAGGGTATGGTTGCGGGATTGAACTGATATAAAGGGAAGAAATTGATAATGTGTTCAAAGTACATATGCCTGGAATAGGGTATGGTTGTGCGAAAAGAAATGATAAAAGGAAAGGAACTCATAAAGTATTTAGGAGTTGCCTTGTTGAAATTGATGTAGTGAGGAAATTCTAAAGTTATTCGTTGGTTTTATTTTAAATAATTGCATATTATCGGAGTTGTGACCGTTGATGATAAGAACTACGTGTGGCTTGATCCCTTGTCCAAGGGTACGTAGGTAGCCTGGGGTTTCGCCTAGGTGCAGCCGCGAAATATACTATGTTTAAAAAGGCTTTGATCGATTCTGAGTTTGTGAATGGATGTTGATATGGTTGTTGGATTTGAATCCAATTTAATGTTTTCAGTGGTTTTTGTAAAGTTGTATGAGGTCATTCATTTCATTGTTTATGCTTTATCTGACTTAAGAACATTGTTGGTTTTGTTTCGAACCCTTTGAAGGCTGGAGGCCTATTTTGTATTTGCATGTTGATAACTTGTGCATGCTGCCAGTTGGGTTATAAACTGTGTTTTAAATTTTCAGGTTGAAATTTTGGAGAAAGGTCAAATTTTCAGGGGAGACTCTGCCAAATTTTCGGCCGAAGGTCTCGATTCTTAATAAGTGGGCCCGGCATCAGTGGGATGTCGGAATTTCCATAGGATTCGTCTCGAGTTCCGAGGAATTCGGGGCGGGTCCTGTCAACAGAAGTTGTCGCACCACATGTCAAAAGCTAGGGATGTTGTCGTTGTAATCCAACGACACAATTCAGAACAAATCCTTTTTTATTTATTTTTTATTCCAACAGTAATCCAAATTAACGATCCATATTAAATCTAAGCTATTTTAACAATTAAAAAAGATCCAACCGTTGAAATTTAAATCCAACGGTCGCAATAATATTTTAAATTAATCTAAATCAAATCCAACCCCAAAACTAACTCCAAAATCTATACATACCCATGTGGATAGACGTTCGATACCCCAGGCATCCAATGAATATTTGTGTAAACCCCATCCCTCAATCGCATGTACTAAAATAAAATAAAAATTGATGGTGTCATAAATTTTTTTTCTCCAAATGATAAAGTTAAACTTAGAGATTCGATTGCACATACACCCTTAAAGTCTAGTCCTTGAAGTTAATTTTGTCATCTGAAGAAGTGTCTTTTTAACAAAATCATCAAATTTCCAACCAAAAAATGAAAATGAAAAAATTTAAAACCTTAGGGGTGTTAGTATAATTTCCAAAATATAAAGGGGTTTTATGAAATCAACAAAACCTCAGGGTGAGTGCCAATATAAATAACTCTTTTTAGAAAAGAAAAAAAACCAAACAAACAAGCAATAAAAGAAAAAAAAAAAAAAAAAGGAAAAAAGAGAGAAGCCGAAAAAAAAAGATGTGAGTGATATCATATTGAGCTTTGTAAAGGCCAACATGTGTTTGATGTTATGGGAAAATCAGTGCGGGAATTTAGTTTCGAATGGAAATTGAGTTTAAAAAACGTGAAAAGAAAAGAAAGATAAAAATATTTTTTTATTTTTTACTTTTTATGAATGCAAGACTACAAGGGAGAGGGGGAGTTTTTCACAAACACACACTACCGAGATATCATTGGGTCCAAGCCGTTAGCATGCTTCCTCATTCCGATGCGTCTGCGAAATACACTTTGGTGTCCTGTGATTTCTAGATTTTTATTAGTCATATGGTATTTGGGAAGCCTATTGACAACTGGTTTGGTGTTCTACCCGGGTTCACTTGCGCATTTGTAAGTAGACCTCGAAAGAACATGATAAGTCAGGATGTTGAGTTGTTCACTGAGCAAATTACAGATCAAAGAGGCTTGTTACTGGACAGACCAATCTGATTTTACCACAAACAGAACAATTGGTTTCTTTTACACCACATGTCTCATATTTTCCTAGCTTATTTGCTTGGAATAATTCGGGAAAATACAGAGGTTGTTTTTCCTCAGTGTGAATGGACCTTCAAAAATGGGCTTGGACTGACACCAAAGACGGGAGTGCCATCATCAATAACATTGAGCAAATTTTACCTAGTTCTGATCGAATCCCAGTGCTGCACTTTGGATCAGCATTTTTGCCCACGATGGAAGAATCTCATGTAGGTGAAACAATTGCAAGGAAGGACGATGTGAATTGTTTCTGTTAAAGGAAATTCACTGCAGGTTGTCATGCAAATGGAGGTAGGAGCATATTATCAGTGGACGATTGTGAATAAGATGGATGAACATGAACATGATGCCATGAATTCTAGGGATGAAAACATTTTCGAATGGCGCCGACTTGCTCCCAGGCTGGGCTAGAATTCATATATATGGTACTTCTGCAGAAATATGCCGTTTTGAAATCCTATGATAACAAAGCTCTGAGTTATAAATCGGATGTGAGACAAGACAACAGGAAGGAGAGGTACTTTTGGTGTTCTCTCAGGCCCACGTTATATCCAGAAAATCGAACTCATTTCTTCGTGAAGATTTTTATGGATTCTTCTATTAGTATAAATGGAATCTACCAAAGGATTTATGGACTGTGGCAGCAGCAACAATGCGAATTGTTATCTGGTGTTTATTTATGTTACAAATTACAATGTGCAAAACAGAGGACTCTAAGAAGTGTCATTATAGAACAGAGTGGAAGATGGGGTTTAAATTCTTGGGTCAAGTTTTAAAATTGAAGAGTTGGATATTGAAGATGAACGCTTGCTTGTTGATCATTCAGACGATTGTGATAGCTTTGATGTGGGCCAATACAGTTCAGCTGATTGGAATATGGTTGATAAGGGTTTACAATAGTTTCCTGCAATGGAGGACTGAACCAAATGCGAACAACCATCTGTGATTTGGTTGCAATTGCCAGATACTTGAATGTCATTCTTCTTATTCCATAGCTAAAAATTCTTCTCGGGCAACAAGGGTGGAGGTGGTGGGATGGGGTCTCCTGGGCAGACACACCATTTGTCAAGGCAAATGCAGTTGCATCTCGGACAATTGCAATTCTTTTCTTTCCCAGCATCGTAACGAAACAATTTGCTTTGCTTCGGGTCCCTTGTGAGGATCTGCATTGAAGCAATTCTTTTTTTTTTTCAATAAAATTTATATAACACATTTCATTCCATTTATTCTCATTAGATGACAAATTTTTTTCATATTACATACGTCGTGTTTGTGTTATGTCGTGCCCTTTTTTATCGTCTTTGGGTCACCAAACTGATGCTCGCAATCTCATCTACAGTTCATTGGAATTATTACTATTTGAAAAAAAAAAAAAAAAATTAGAGAAATAGGGAAATATAGAATTGCAAGATGCAAACCACCAGAATGGCAACTGTACATGAGGGTCATGAGATCATGACGTCACGAGGCCGTGGTCATTTTTCTGATAAATAATGTTGAAAGTTAAACCAAGCCCAAGGAATCCAAAGCCAAGTTTTATTCTTTATCGATTTTGTAAAAGCATGAGAGCATTAACGGCTAGGTTTGCTTTGTTTATTGGTTCAATGAGCATGCAGTCGGTTGATGTCTCCAGGCAACTTTTCTCTTTTTGCTGGAAAGTTTTGAGAGACGTTGTCTCTATTTGTAATGAGTGTTGTAGCAAAACTTTTATCATTGAAGGTGAATTAATCTGTGAGGTTGCTTTAGCTTTTTCTCTCTATTCTTTCTGAGTTTTTTGCTTCAGTCTTCTTCCTTCTATTTTCTTCCGTTTCTGTGTGAGAACATTTTGCTGCTTGAGCATTGAGATAAAGTGAGAGAAAGAAGAGAGAAAATGCCAACCCTACCAAGGTTTGTGGTGGTGACATCAAACACCAACGGGAAATACTTGCGCTACATAGATGAAGACATCAAGAACGAAGTGCCAGCAGGGTATCTCAAATTCTCTGGACAAGAGGCAGGGAGCCAATACGCGAAGTTTGAAGTGGAGATGGCAAAGAGTAGCGGCAATGAGGGGCTTGTCCACATTAAGTGTTGTTACAACAACAAATACTGGGCAAGGCGTAGCCCTAGCAGGTTGTTGATCGCTGCTGTGGCTATAAATATTGGGTAAGGCGTGGCTATTGTAGCTACTTGATCGCTGCTGTGGCTGATGAACCAGTGGAAGACAAATCTAAGTACTCGTGTACCTTGTTCGAGCCGGTGTACATAAATGATGATTTCCTTGTCGGCGACGATAAAAGCACAAACCATATACTGGTGCTCCGATTCCGCTATCCCGAACGTGAAGAGTACCTAACCATTTATCAGGGCAATCAGCCCGGCCAATATGAGCCAGCGCTCCGCGGAGGCTTGTACGTAGGAGATAAAGACCCTAACCCCAAGTTGTTCGATGTGTTCACTGTCACCGATTGGGAATCGCTGTTCATGATGCTTCCCAAACATGTGGCGTTCAAGGGCCATAATGGCAACTTGCTCGGCACCCGCTTGAACGAGGTCTTCGCCAGCGCCGATGGAGGCCTCTCCTATTCCTTGGGCAAATTGTGGAGGCTGACCAAGGGCGATTGGATCTGCCTTGACGCAGATAACTCAACCAGCATCAAGAGATTTTCCGTCACTGATAAAGTTACAAGAGACGACTCAGAAGCATACAACAAGGAGGTGAAAGAGCTTGGGGTCTCAAAGGAGATCTATAACGTCACTTTCCGCCTCGGGGACGCCAAGATCTACAACAAGAAGGTTGTCGAAATTGCCATTGGAGAGGTGGTTAACCTTATCCAAGAAACTCAAATTCTCGAGATGAATCTCTCGTATAAAAAACCTAGGAGCGGAAGCTTGAAGTCCAGCGTGTTCAAGTTGGACGTCCAAAGCATCATCGACGGTGAGGTTCCAGTCATCGCAGACAACGGAAAGATCGAGGTTGATGAGTTTGCAGAATCAGTGGAGAGGAGAAAAACCGGGGCAGCCACAATATTCACATGTAGTGTGAACGAGGCTGCTGTTTATAAGGTTGTGCTGACGGCAATGGCTATGGTGAAGGTGAGGCTTCTAGGGACCAAGGCTTCTTACGATGTTCCCTTCTCCTATACGGAGCGCGAAACTCTTGCTGACGGGAAAATAATTACCAACGACATGGATGACGGGGTTTACTGTGGCACCAATACCTTCAACTTCAAGTTCGAGACCACAGAAGAATAGCTTTAACATTTCACCAGTGAGCCAATACACTGTAATTCCCGCAGACTACCCTCACATGCAGCTACGTAATATGGATTGTCGAATGTCTTCAAAAACCTTTTGTGAGCTTAATAAAACTTTCTTATTCTTCTTCTTCTTCCCGAATTAAATTAACAAGAAAAAAAAGAAGGAAAAATTATATATTAAAAGAAGTTTTCAATGGGATTACTTTCGTACATTGCTTGGATTTATTTCCAGCTCAATAAATCAAAGGGCAACTGGTCAAAAAATGTTTTCTATTTAGACTGTCTTAATTAAAGGTCTTATTTAGACCTCCTCCGTCAGGCAACTTTCCATCGGCCGACAATCATTGTTCTTTTCGATTAGGTGCAGACGACACCATTCCATGCTCAGGCCCAACCCAACACCTTTGGACTCCATCAAAGACAAATAAGGAAAGACCTGCCCATTGTCAAGACAGTTAAAGATTTCTGTTAAAAAGAGTCACGTGTGTGTAACGTGACCACGATTTTGTTTCAGTTTTACCACCTAGAGAATTGCTATCCAAAGCGACTGTGAGGATCGTCGCCCGTGTACACCGGTTAGAATGCTACACGTGTATCTCACTTTTTAAAGAAATAAATGAGTTTCTGTTATGCACCGAATTCCCATTTTACCCTTTTCCTAAATCCAAGTTCCAACGACAGCATTGAATAGAAAGCCAACCCTCACTTCATTTTTTTTTTCTCTCTATCCAGATTCAATACCCAAAAAAAAAAAACCTATAATCTCTATTTCTTCACCCATAAGGGCACTTCCAGCAGTCAAACCCTTGCCATGGTAAGGGGGGCTAAGGCTGACACTATTCACATGAATAGTATCTGCCCTTGTAAAAAGTAAGTTCCACTTCCAGCAGTTGCCCGAGCAAAGGGCAAGTACTATTCAATTTTTTGTTTTTTTCACAAATTTGTTTACCTAAACAATTAATTTGGACAATATTTTCGGATAAAATTTTTGGGTTCATCCTTGTCAATACTTGAGTAAAAAGTGAATAATAGTAGAATTAGAAGAAAACATATGAGGATTTGGTGTTGAAAGTGAAGAGTTTTGGTAGGTATTTATAGAAAAAAAAATTACAGAATTTTTGGATATTTTTTTTAAAAAATTTTGATTTTTTTTCATTTTTTTATTGCACAAAAATTGGCTGCCGTTGGATTGGAGGAAAAATTCTGATCGGAGAGCCCAGAACGCGACACTTGGCAGAGAGCTGTTGGCGGCACTGTAGCGGAGCACTGTAGCGCACTGTAGCGGATGACATCAGCAGCGCCTTCGGGCCAGCACTCGGGCTGTTTCTACCTACGGGCCAGCCCAGGCTGGTGGACCCCAGCAGTTGCCCAGGCTAGCTTTTGTTGCTGGAAATGGGTTTTGGCCTTTTACGCCCCCGCCCTCGCCCTAGGGGGCTGCTGGAAATGGCCTAAGGGCCATCTCCGATTCTAAAAAAACTCGAACCCAACTTGCCTGCTAAAAGTAAGGCACTAAATTCTAACCCAATAAGAAATACACTTGTGTTATTGTCATGCACGCACAAATATATACAATACCTATAATATAAAAATTTTGGGACCTTTAAAAATTAGGGTTCTGTATGGTGGCACCACTTGCACACTTTCAAGGCCGTCCATGTGTTAAGGCCATCTCCAATTCACGAGGAAAACCCAAGAATTCTAAATTTTAGCCCAATTCCTCTCCCAACTTAAGAAAAGTAAATGGCTAAAATTTGAGAAATTCAAATACCAATCCAGCTATTGCCTGGACTGGAGTTTTTTTTGTTGGAGCCCATTATAGCATGACGCAGCCCATGTGCAAGGAGGTGTGAATAGGGCTCGCGATGCTGTTGCTGCAGAAGTTGTCACACCACGTGTCAAAAGCTGGGGATGTTGTTGTTGGAATCCAACGACATAATTCAGAACAACTCCATTTTTTTTAAATTCCAACAATAATACAAATCAACGATCCATATTAAATCTAAGCTATTTTAACGGTAAAAAGAGATCCAACGGTTGAAATTTAAATCCAACGGTCGAAATAATATTTTAAATTAATCTAAATCAGATCCAACCTCAAAACTAACTCCAAAAATCTATAAATACCCACCCATTTCTTAAATAATCTACCAAAAATATTTTTTCTATTTCTCAATTTATTTTTCCTTTGTTAATTTCATTAATCTCCTTTCTTCTTGTTGAAGATGTCCACAAAATCTTAAAGAGGTGTGAATTGGAGGCCAGAAGAAGATGAGGCACTGTGCAAAGGGTGGGTTTCCTTTAGTGAAGATAGGGCTATCAGCACCACTCAAGCAAGCGACACATTTTGGCAGCGTGTATATCAAAAGTTTCTGGAAAATGATCCGAGCATTTGTGGACCAGAGCGACTTCTCGATTCAGGACTATCAATCAACAATGTTATCTTGGGAATGCATGCTTGACTAAGGCCAATACGAACCAACAAAGTGGCTCAAATCTACATGATGTGGTAAGTGCCCATTTTTATTAAAGCTTTAAATTTATATTTGTAAGTCAGACCCGAAAAAAGAAAACTACTTAGTGAATTGCTATCCACAATCGCCCAAAAGCGACTATGAGGATCGTCGCCCGTATACACCAGTTAGAATGCTACACGTGTATCTCACTTTTGAAAGAAATAAATGAGTTTTTGTCAGAATTCCAATTTTACCCTTCTTCTCCTAAACCCAGCGACAACATTGAATAGTAACCCAACACCCCCTTCATTTTTTTTCTCTCTGTCTAGATTCAATACCCAAAAAAAAAAAACAAAATAACAAAAAAAGAAATAGAGAAATATAGAATTGCTAGATGCAAACACTAGAATGGCAAGAACTGTACATGAGGGTACCGGTGCTAACAAAAAAAAAAAAATCTAATTCCCAAGAACTGTACATGAGGTAACGTGCCAGCTAGCAAACATGGGACGAGAATGCTTGCAATTCAATATTGTCCTAGTGAACGTTTACCCTTTGTTTTCACACACATTAATACTTTCTTGTCTATGTTATCCAATCTTGTACTGGTTGTCCATGTTTTATTTTACAGAAAGAGTTCATTTACAAACAGAAATCACACAGGCACACAAGCTCGAAAAGATTAAAATAAAATGGAATTAAGGGTAACATTTCAAAGGCAACTCATGCAAAGGCGGAACGAGGAATTTTTTAATAGGTGGGTTAGCTAAAGTTATTAGCTTAAAATTTAATAATCATATATTTTTGTACTTACAGTTTCTATAGTATTTCTAGAAATAAAAAGTATACATTAAATTATATAAACCATTCTAGTTCATAGCTCTATTGATTAATTCCTAATAATCTTTAACATAAAACAAATACATATTAAATGCAACCGAAAAATACATTATTAAAATGAAAGTATGTTCAACAACATAATTGAAATTGTACATATTTAATGTGTATTTTTATTGATGCCCAACAATTAAATTCATAAAGAATTAGACTTTTTGAAAGCCACGTCCTCAAAGAGGGAGCGTACCAAGATAATATCATGCACAAGCAGTTTAATACTCCGAGGGATAGAAGCTGCCGGATTGGAGTAATTTTTGGGTGTTCCGGGTACACCACGTGGCTGGTGTACCATCCAATAGACGGAGGACATATGTAATATATCCAATACAGCCCGCCACATGTCATAAAAAGAAATACAGTAAGTTAGACAATAATTCCACATGTCCTATGTTCATTGGATGGTACACCATCCACGTGGTGTACCTGGAACATATAAAAATTTCTCGCCGGATTGACACAGTGGATATATAATAAGCATAGAATCACCTTCAATCATCTTTTTACTCCATCCATTGTGAACATCTCGCAAAGCAAGGCATTCAGCCACAATGATAGCAAAGCAAGGCATATATAATTCTTTTCTTTAACCATGAATACTGAATTCCATAATAAAAGTATGAGATGCCGTGATGTCCATGGTCGGTGTGAGCTTACTTTATTCAATCAACTTAAAAATGAGATGCCTTGATGTCATGAGATCATGACTTCACGAGGCCATGGTCATTTTTCTGATAAATAACATCAAAGACACAGAATGTATATTGCACACAGAATTGAGGAATTAAAGTGAGAGAAAGAAGAGAGAAAATGCCAACCCTTGTTGCTTCGATTCAGCTGCACCAAAATGGTTTCAACTGCATCCTCAACTTGTGATACTCGCAAGTGCACGAGCCGTTTGGTAGTATAGCATATGTAAGTGCGAGGTCGATCCCACGAGGATTGGTGATTGAATGATCCAATTTGTTTCCCCTACACAAAATAGAAATGAAAAAAAGAAAATAAATAAAACAAGAAAGAATGAAATAACTCAAGCAAATAAGTTCCCAAGTTCAATTAGATTAACGGATTGATTCTAGCTAAAGTATGATTAAGCCATGGTGTTTGGTCATAACCTTGTGTTCCTAATTCCCTAATTTGATCATTTGTTGTCTAACCTAAAACTAAGCATTAGGAACCCATTAAGCATAGAAGAACAATTTAAACAACCAAGCAT